ATCTCTGTTAAATGTTCCAGCAGTTCCTCAAGACCTGATTATGACACGTGGTCTGGGGGATGCCAGGGAACCAGAGACATTCATGGATGACTCTTCTGTGGTTGATATATTTACTCTCTCCATGTGGTTTGTATATTTAATTTTTTTGGTATTCTAATTTTTAATAATGTTTTTATATTTTTATAATGATTATTTTTATATATGGTTTTGTTCAATTGTTGTATGCTTCCCAGAGTTGCTTTTTGTGAGATGGGTGGCCATATAAATTTGCTGAATAAGTAAATAAATACAAAGGTGATATAATGGCAAAATTCCTAGTAACAAGGCTTATTTTATATTTAAACAGGAACCTGAGGTCCACCAGTCACCGTCCTAACTAGTTTAGTATTTGGCATAATAAGCACATATCCAGGCAGTCCTTAAGTTAAAAGTGGGACCGGGACTAGGGTTGCTAAGGGACATGGTAGTAAAGTGGGATGTCCTGTGATCACATCAAATGGCAATCCAGGCAGTTCTGATTGCCTAATCCCAGGATATGTTGGGTCATTAAGAAAGAAGCAGAGGGACTCGGTAAGAAGTGCAGGAGTGAGGCAAAGATTTTGGGGAGGGCCAGCATAGGCCATGCATGAGAGGGAGGGGGGTGCTCCCTGTGGTGCAAGCTTAGAAAGGCTGGGGAATTTGGGTGCAGAGTGCATGTGATTGCAGGGAGACTGTGGTGTGTGAATGCAGGGAGGGTCATCTCCCTGTGTGTGAGGGACCATGGAAAGGGCATGTGTGAGGCTTGTGAGTGTGCAAGTGCAGGAAGGCTGTGGAAAGAGTGCATGTGTGTTTGTGTGTATATGTGCCTGTGTGATCACAGGGAGACCAAGGAAAGAGTGCATGGGGTACATATGTATGTGTGTGAGCACAGAGAATCTGTGGAAAGAGTGTGGGGGTTCATGTGTATTGCAGGGAAACCGAGGGAAGAGGGCATGTAAGTACAAGCTAGTTGCCAAGCACCTGAATGTGACATTGCAGACATTGCAACACTCGTAACATCCCTTCACCCCTCCAGTGGTATGTTGAACAATTGGTGAATGAATGATTGTAACTCAATGACTGCCTGGTAAGAGTCCTATTAAAAAAATAGTTTTTAGAAATTTGACATTCTAAAGTCTGACTCATTGATACTTCCTGGGTGTGTGGAATTCCTGCAGAGTGACTTGTCTGAATTCTTTCTTGTTTAAATACAATTACTTATAGATTTTACTGTGTATTGAAATTTGTTGTTCTCATAGAAATGTATTGAAAGTAGCATGTTACCTGATTGAAGTTGTGAGCCACAAAACTAGCTATGTATGCCATATCTACCCTGGATTCTTTTCTTAGCCAGTTTTGTTGTATACTTTACACGGATGGAAACTAACCAAAGAGAAAAGCAACCTAGAACTATGGAGAAATTTCATGACAGTTAGAACAATTAATCAGTGGAACAACTTGCCTCCAGAAGCTGTGAATGCTCCAACACTGGAAGTTTTTAAGAAGAGACAGCCATTTGTCTGAAATGTATAGTGTTTCCTGCCTGAGGGGGGGGGTTGGACTAGATGACCTCCAAGGTCCCTTCCAGCTTTATTATTATTGTAGTTGTTGTTATTTCCTAAACAAAATTTAGTGCAATCTTGTTGAAGAAAGAGTGTCTTGGATGTGTTTATTGATTTATATTCATTGCCTATTAACTTGCACAAAGGCATCATACACTATAGGGCCAGCTCAGTTTCTAGCTGAGATTATGTTCTCCCAAAAAGCTTATTTCATGAAGAATAATATCTGTGATCCTCCGACAAGAATAATGTATCAGCACAATATTGTGCAGTATCTTTTAATAAGGAATTCTATTTCTTCAGTCTCATGAATTGTAATGGTCATATTGAATTAATTCAAAGTTGCCATAAGATTTATTTTTTGATTGAAGATTTCTAAAGACTTCTCATGCTTAGTTACCTGTACTCAGATGGAAGTACTTGAAACTAAAATTAGAAAATGTTCCCTGCCTAATGATTTGTCTAATATAGTCTAATACAGGTAGCCCTCGACTTACGACCATAATTGAGCCCCAAATTTCTGTTGTAAAATGAGTTTTGCCCCATTTTACAACTTTTCTTGCCACAGTTGTTACACAGTTGTTACTTCAGTTGATAAGTTAGAAACCTGGTTGTTAATTGAATCTGGTTTCTCCATTCACTTATCTTGTCAGAAGGTTGCAAAAAGTGATCACATGACCTTGGGACACAGCAAAGGTCATACATATGAGCCAGTTGCCAAGCATCTGAATTTTGATCACAGGGTCATGGGGATGCTGCAAAGGTTGTAACTATGAAAAGCGGTCATAAGTCACATTTTTCAGTACCGCTGTAACTTTGAACGGTCACTGTGTTGTAAGTCGAGGACTACTTATGTTAAAGAAATTGTGAAAGTGGCTTATAGGTAAAGTCAGAATTTACAGTAGCTGGAGACAGAATGGCTTCAAGAGGCAGTCAGTTCAAAATTATCATGGTATTCCAAATAGGAGAAGAAAGAAAAATGAAAGAAGAAGGAATATGGAGGGGTGAAGGGCTGCAAGGTTGCTCTTAGAAAAAGGGGATAGAAACAGTCTCTCTCTCTCTCTCTCTCTCTCTCTCTCTCTCTCTCTCTCTCTCTCTCTCTCTCTCTCTCTCTCTCTCTCTCTCCCTCTCCCTCTCCCTCCTTTCTCTGTCCCCTTCTCTTCTTCCCTCCCCCTCCCGTCTCTGAGTAGGATAGTTGTGATAGTACCTGACTTTGGATGTGGTTCAGCAGTGCCCTCTAAAGGGTTTGGGAAGTGAGTGTCACACCAGGAAGCCTGAAAAAAGGTTGTGCAAAATAGTTTGAGTATGAAGTGCTTGAAGCAAGACATGATTTGAACAAAATGTACCTCTTCTATGTGGTGCTATTTTAGAATCTTCCATGTGGCTCTAGGTCAGGGGTAGGCAACCCAAAACACTTAAAGAGCCACTTGGACCCGTTTCCCACCAAAAACAAAACACTGGGAGCCGCAAAACCATTTTGATATCTAAAATGAAGATAACACTGCATATATCCTTTTTTACCTTTATTATAGGTGTGTGTGTGTGTTTGTGTGTGTGCATGTGTGTGTGTGTATATATATATGTATATGTATGTATGTATGTATGCATGCATGTATATATATATATATATATATATATATATATATATATATATACACACACACACACACACATACACACACACACATACACACACAGGTAAAAAAAGGATATATGCAGTGTTATCTTCATTTTAGATGTCAAAAGGGTCTCTCTCTCTGTCTCTCCCTCTCTATCTGCCCTTGGTCTGCCACTCCTCTTCCCCCGCTCTCTTTCTTTCTCTCTCTCTCTTTCCTCTCTCTCTCTCTCCCCCTCTCTCTCTTTCTCTCTCTCTCTTTCTCCCCCCCCCTCTCCTATCTGCTGCTCACCTGACAAGCTTCAGGCTGTTGTCCAACAAGATCAGGGGTAGGCAACCTCGTCTCATTTATGATTCATGGACTTCAACTCCCAGAATTCCTGAGTCAGCCTAGCTGGGCTAGCTAGCTCTCTCCTGCCCTTCCTGCTTCCTGCAGAGACACAGCAAAGGGAGGAGCTCCGCCCAGTAAGCTTTTCAGCTCCTCGGAGAACACTGTGAGTGCACTCTCTTTTACACACACACACACACACACACACACACACACACACACACACCCAGAGAGAGAGATTGAGAGAGAAAGAGAGAAGCAGGGAAGCGCAAATCCTCTCTCTGTCTCTGTCTCTCTCTCTGCAAAGGCAGAGGAGGCTGGGAGCCGCAGGGGAAGGCTCAAAGAGCCGCATGCGGCTCCGGAGCCGCAGGTTGCCGACCTGTGCTCTAGGTGAACGGAATCCTATCTTGCCTCTTTCCATCAGTTATCTTTCGATATATTTTTTTTTCCTACTTGGGCTGCTAAGCAGCATTCATATCCCTGCTGTTCCTGACTTAGGCTGAGTGGGTTAATACTGAGCTTTGGTGGAGTTTTGGAGCAAATCATAAGGCATTTTAGCAGCACTTGGCGCATTCTGCATCTGACTACTTTTGAAGAAGGATAAGAGAGGGAAACTAGGATTTGCTAAAGAACTGTCTTGGTTGGACTGACTTTATTTGGAATTTACTCTACAATATGAAAAAGAATAAGAACCTTGTCTGCCAAGTGTAAGTAAAGCAAGAGCAGCTAAGTTTTCCCTTTTCATTTTTTTAAAAAAATAAATAACTGTTGCCCCAGTTGATTTCTATAGAAAAAGGAGGAAAATGTTTGTACTCCATAACCAGGCTTCAAAACAATTTGCCAGCGTCACCTACTCCTTAGGACAGTGTTTCCCAAACTTGACAATTTTAAGGCATGTGGACTTCAACTCCCAGAATTCCACGGCCAGCGTTGCTGGCTGTGGAATTCTGGGAGTTGAAGTCCTCATGCCTTAAAATTGTCAAGTTTGGGAAACACTGCCTTAGGATATGCTGAAGTCTTTATAGCTTTCATTTCTTACGATGAAAGAGAGTGTTTTCTTTTTCTCTTTTTCTTAATTATTTCTGTTTTTATATTTCTTTATACATTTAATAAAGTTATAAAACATAATTATTTCTTGAGTATTTTGGGGTCATTGTACAATACTGTATATATTTTTCTTTATATATTGATATGTATATATTTTAGATACTTCTGTGTCTGAAGAATAGTTTAATCTTTAATGTGACTTTGTCAAATGCATGAAAAAACATTTTATTAAAGATGATTTTGACAATTCTCATTTACTAGTGTGGAAAGTTCAGAGCAGAGTTTGATTTGCAGTGCTGAAAAAGATTTTGCCAAGTGAATCTTAAGTCTGTTTTCTTGCTAATTCCAACGCCTGCTGGCCTATCTCTCTCTATCTTATATTCTCTTGTTACTATTACCACTACTGCACTATTATTTTTTTGTCTTTCAGCAAAGGAAATCATATTTGGAACGGAGTGTAAAAGAAGCTGAAGATAATATCCGGGAGATGCTCACAGCTAGAAGAGCACAATAAGCTCCTTGTGTTTGGACTGAATAGTTGAACCCCTACTGTTAAACATTCAGAGATGCGTAAGATACGAAAAACTTGGTTTATGTAACTAGCTGCATCATGTCAACCCAACTTTGTATTTTGATGCACTAATAAACTACTGAATTTATATACCAGGACTGCTAAATGTGGCCTGAATTTGTTTCTTGATACAGAATAGAATAAAATTGAAAACATTTATTCAGTGAGAGTGGAGCTCTAGACTGGTGTTTTGCTTTTCTTCAGAAAGGCATGCAAAAGCCAGTAGATTTGGATTACTCAATAATATTGTTGTATTGGGAAAAGATGATGAGACTTCAGCACACGGTAGAGACAGGTGAAGCAGTACACTTCTTGCTTTCATTTTGCTGCTTTCAGGGACTGAAAAGCTTGTAAAAATGATGAAAAAATACAGAAAAATGCAAAGAATTAGGAAAATCCTCTGAACAGATACTGTTTTCTAAGACAGCTAGGTTTTGAGATGGCAATGGTTGGAGCATGGATGATTTTTACAATATAAGCAGTTTGGAACGATCAGAAAGGTTCAAAGCTGGCAGAGAACAGGTAAGCATGGCTTTTCAGTAAGGGAATATTTGTGTTTAAATTTCCCTATAGCTTTCTGCTAGATAAGTATCCAATGCTATTATATTGATAGCAGTCTTAAAAATAAATGTAATAGCATTATAAGGTTGCTGCCATCTTGTGGATGAGAGTTTTGTCACTCATTTCTGTGACTAGATTCATAGATCATGCTAAGTCAGAGATAGGCAATCTAATGTTCCAGCTGTTCCTGAATTATGTAATTCCTGGCATCCCTGATCATAATGTAATCCCGTTGTCCTGGGAGTTGCATGCTTTGGCAACAGCTGGGTCCCACAGCCTATGATGTATGAGCCTGATCATCTCATATTTTCTGTAAGCTCAGAATAGTGTTTTGGGGTTAGGGTTAGGGCTACATAATAACGTAAGTACAAAACTAATTTCAGTGTAACAATGTGAGAAAAAAGTGATTTAGACAATGGAGACACTATTCTAAATTGAGCACTGTTAAAATTGTCAGCTTTTCTGTTGGTCTTTGGGTTCTTGACTGGATATTTCAGTTATTTTTCTGCAGAATTTGGAATATCTGCTACAGTATAAACTTCTGCTATAAAGGATGCTATACAACTGATCAATATATAGTTCTGCCACCTGCTGTGAGATGCATTTTATTTTTAATATTGTTGTGATATGTTTGGTTATTCTAGCTATACTGCCTAAATATGTACTGTATATGCACGAATATTGAGCAAATTTAGGCAATCCAAGCAAAGATTTAGAGGACTAGATGGAAACAAAAGCAGTTAAGCTTTTATGCTGCTTTCCTTTCCACTAGTATATGAAAAAAGGAAAGCATGAAGCTTTTTAATTTTGGGCAAGCCAGTTTGTTACATCTGCATGTGGGAAAATGTGATTGTACATTTTCCCTTTATTATGCTGAACATATCAACAAAAGAAAACTTGCAAAGTATATGTGTTATGTGGGTGAACAGAGCAAAGCACACCCATGTTGCTTTGTCCTTATATACAAATCTGTTGAAATTATCTCAGTGGGAGGTCACTAACCATGAGAGATTGTTAGCAGACTCTTGCTGTCTAAGAATGGTTGCTAAGATGAAGCTGTGCAATGACTCACTTAGCATTGCTGGCTGTGGAATTCTGGGAGTTGAAGTCCACATGCCTTAAAATTGTCAAGTTGAGAAACACTGCTCGAAGAGGACCCCCAGTTTGAACACCATTGGCAGTATGGGGATACCTTCCTATTCAGAACCAAATATGACAAGTCCCCAGCTTCGAGAGCTCCCAGAACCCATAGCCACTCCCTTCCAGGCTCTTGCAGCCTCCAGACACTGAAAAATATTGACCGTACCACTTGGCCAGCCAGAGGTAGAGATGTTAAGTTCATTCTCTTATTTATCTGAAACACACACACACACAAACACAAACACACATCCCACATATAAATGTAACCCTCAACTAACTGCGGATCGTCTAGCTGTGGAATATTATCTATATACTTACCAAAACTCTCGTGTCTTTTCAGTTGGGTAAAAATCATAGGGCAACAATTTTTTAATCAATTAGTTGAAATGGATTTACAAAATTACAGTATTCAAAATCCAGGGCCTATTATTCCTGTGAGATTGAAATTTGGAAAAGTTGTGACTGCTTCAGTGCTGTGGTGGCCAGTGGCTTGCCATTTTCAATATTCCTTGCCAACTTCCCACAATGAGAGTTAATGAGGAAGCTGGCAGGAAGTTGGAAGCCACAGCCCCATGGCTGCTCCAGGTGGGAGAGGGAGTTAGGGAGGGCGCAGGGGGCAGGGAAGGTACAGTGTGGGTCAGGGAGGCTGTGAGAGGCCTAATGCAGGTTAAGAAGGGCATGAGTGAGGCACGGCAAGGGTTGGGGAGGGTGTGTGACGGTGTGCAGGAGTGAGAGACCCTGTATGGGTTGGGAAGGATGAGATGAACCATATGGATTGGAAGGATGTGAGAGTTGTGCCAGTCAGGGAGGTTGCGTGGGATGCATGAAGGATGGTATGTGGATCAGGAAGGCTGCGCAGGAGTGAGGTGTGGGTTGGCAAGGTTCAGGGTTAAGGTTAGAACTGCAGTGCGAGTTGTGTCTGTGTCTGCAAAAGATGTAATGTGTGAGAGTTGGGGGAGGGTGTGCAAGGGTCCGCTAGTGGTAGGTAAGTAAGTATCTTTGAAAGGATGACCCACCAAGCCATGTGTTTCCTATTTATCTCTCTCGTCTGTCTGTCCATCCATCCATCCATCCATCCATCCATCCATCTATCTATCTATCTATCTATCTATCTATCTATCTTTGATCTATATAATCTGTGTTTTCCCCTCAAAACCAATATATCATTTCAAGTCCATGATCAGAAATTGTGAATGAACCATTTTTTGTTAATTAAGTTAACCTTAAGTCAAGATACTAAGAGGTTTTGTAATCCTGAACATGCACTATGTAGGTAAATAGGAAAGTATGTCCCTGCTTGTTTAAAATTAATGTAATGAACAGACAGAAGCTTTTTTACATGAAATAAATCTTCCAGTAATCTTGATTGTCCAATCAGGAGACCTATTAACCAATGAGACAAGTTATTTACAGAATGGTATACTGTATAGAATGCAGAATAATGGAGTTGGAGGGGACCTTAGAGGTCTTCTAGTCCAACTGTAGTGGTACTTATTTATGCATTCGCATTTGCGTGCTTTCGAACTGCTGGGCTGCTGGCATTCCGGCCGACAAGCCCAATGTCTTAACTACTAAACCACCGTGCCACCTTCCTCCCCTCTATGACAGCCCCTCAAATAATGGAAGATTGCTATCATGTCACCCCTAGTCCTCTTGGTTGGACTAGAAATTCCAAGTTCCTGCAACCATTCATTGTATGGTTTGGCCTCCAATCCCCAAATTATCTTTGTTGCTCTTCTTTGCACTCTTTCTGGAGTCTCAGCATCTTTTTTTTATTGTGGTGACCAAAAGTGGACACACTATTCCAAGTGTGGTCTTACTAGTGCACTATAAAATGATACTAACATTCCATGTGATCTTGATACTATCCCTCTTTTGATGCAGCCTAGGACTGAATTGATTTTTACGCAGCTGCAGCACACTGCTGGTTCATACTTAAGTAGTTGTCCACTAGGACATCTAAATTCCTCTCACAGTTATTGCTGTTGAGCCAGTTATCACTTATTCTATACCACTTATTCTATGCATTTGGTTTTTCTTGTCTAAGTGTAAAACTTGACTTTTCTTTCCACTGAATTGCATTTTGTTAGATAGGGCCCAGTGTTCAAGTCTGTCACAATCCTTCTGATCATGAATCTATCTGGTGTCATCTGCAAATTTAAAGGGTTCCCCTTCTATCTCCTCATCTAAATAGTTTGGGAAGATGTTCAACAGTACTGGGCCAAGACAAAAGCCTGGAGCACTGCTTGCCACCCTCCTTATAGATATAGTTCCATTGAGGGCTACACATTAAGTGCAATTGGTCAGGCAATTACAGATCCATCTGGTGGTGATGTTGTCCAATTCACATTTTTTATCTTAAAAGAAGTAGGTTGTGATCTACTTTGTGAACTGCCTTACTGAATGAAGTCCAAGTATACTATGTCCACAGCATTTTGCTACCCCACTAATTTACTCACTTTGTCAAAGAATGCAACAAGGTTGGTCTGGCATGATCTGTTTTTCACTGTAATTATTTCTTATATGTAAATGTAACTTCACCTCTTCTTGATTATTAGATCTGCATTTTTTAAACAATTTAAATTTCTCTAGCTGTATGTTCCAAGCATAGGTTTCATCTCCACCAAATTTCAATAATGGCAACATCATATTTGCCCTCATGTATTAGGATTTAAAGTTCAGCCTGTTTGTTTCTCATACTTTGAGCATTACTGTATATAGGCATCTGAGTCCTTTCTGACTGACCTTGCATTTGCTTGCTACATCTCTTATTTTGTATCTGAGTTCCCCTTCTTTCTTACCACTTGGTTGATTGCCTTTGGCAAAATAGAAAACATTTGAACTAAGTTTGGCTCCCATCATGTTGCAGATATACCAGGAATCTTTTATAAAGAGGCCTTACTAGCTTAATATTCTAAAGTTTATACAGTATAACAACTATTTTAAATGTGCTGAGAAGCCTTGAATTATGTGAGCTATTGTTCAATTTCTTGGTTAAATACTGATGCCAAGATTTTACAATTATTATTTGTTTCAGAAAGTATTATCTGCAATAAGTCACCCCATATAGTTTAGTTTTATGAAATGTCGAGTCTTTAATAACATGGGAATTGAGATTTATTATCATTGCCTCCTGAGAAATATGAAACCATTGTTTTGACATCACTAGATGCAGAAAAACATTTTGACATAGTACAAATCAAGTTTCCTGGTAATGGGAAAATTGAGTTTCCATTAGCACTTATTTCTTGGCTACATTATTGGATAAAAATTGTTCTTGAAATGTCTCTGCTTAAGTGATTACAAATCACTTTCTATATAATAATCAATATGCAATAGGGCACATGCCAGGGATTTCATTTAATATTTAATTTAGTATTGGAACTTTAGGTGTGTCTTGTATGAAAATGTGATTTTATGTACAGTATGAAACAGAATATAACTTCTTGTATACAGATGACATTTAGAGTTTTTTTCAATGTTTTGATTTTTTTTACAATTGTATAAAAATTCTACAGCATTATGTCATATAATCTAGGTATGTAATAATTAATCCAATGAATAACAAGATTCCTATTGATTACAAACTTTTATTCTTTTCATTTAAATATCTATGGATAATTTAGTTTAGTAGAAATATGTATTTCAAATTTTATTACACATATAAAACAGATAGTAAGAGATGGATGAAAGTATCCCTGAATTTGTGGGGAATAAATGAGGTAAAACAAGTAGTATGTATGTTGAGAGTAAAAGCTGTATTGATTCCCTGTAAATATTTCTTAAAAATCATAAAAGTTTAGTTTTCATATTCAGTTATAGGCTTAGTTTCAAAATTCTTACTGAAAGCTTGGATATCCTGGCGTTTTCTTGGTTCTAACTATAACATCATATAATTTTTCATAAGCTGGTAGGACTTTTTTCAACTTTATTGGAAAGACTAACCACTTTGAAATAATTTTTATTGTAAATACGGAGGAAAAAACCTGGAGGGGAATCATGGGCTAAATGAATTTGAATTTACCAAAGTTAGCTGAATTGCTATATAATCAAAAGTTGATTAATTCTTTAGCCCTGAAGCTTTCACAGCCTTTAAATTTTTAAATGTATTGAAAGTTTCTACATGTATTAAAAATGACAAACATATACTTGAATAAATTGCAAGAAATTAATATTGGAAAAATTATATCCTATAACATCAGTGGTTTAGGTTTCAAGAAAAGGTATATTTCTGATAATTTAAAAATCAAGTTAGTTCAGCAAATACTTATTTGTAGGTTTATTGGATTCCCCAGTAAATATTTAAGAATTGTTGCCCATCATTTTTATATTCAAGATGTATTAAATTGAAGGAATGTTATTACACGTTTTAGAGACATACTTTGCTTATTGATTAGATACTGTCATGGTAAACCAGCTCCTTGCATGGAGATTAAGAATGTTAATGAGTTATTAAATTCTCAAAGTTTGGAATTTGTGTATGAAGTTTTTGATATATTTAGCTTGGAGTGTTGAAGGGGAAAAAGATGATTTTGTACTTTTGGAGGAAAGGCTTTTGAATATGTGTCAAGACTGATTTGCACTTTCACCTATATTCCGCTTTGCTTGCAGCTTCACAAAGAAAAGGGAGATGGGATGGAATGCAAGGATGGTGCAAGGCAGTTGCATCTGAGCATCGTCTGTTCCCATGAGATGCTCCAACCCAAGGACACATTGAGCAGGTGGACTAGTGTGGCTTGCTGGTTCCCATAACAAAATGAACAGAAGTGATTGGTGGACATAATGGAGGGTGGTCCATAGGGAAAGGGAATTAGCTATGCTAGCTTTTGTCCAGGAAACCCAGAGCTGGTTCGCTTAATCTGTGCCAATATGGCTTATTCAGTAAAGTTTATACTGTTGTAAAATAATGTCACAGGAGTTTCTTTTTCTGGATACGCCAATTGGAAAGTTGACATTAAACCAGCTAAGTAGCAGCCTACCTAGACCCCACCAGAATGTTGGCAGCCTCGAGATATCAGCAACCAACAAAGGAATAGAAGGGGTAGTGGGGCAAAGCCACAGGAAGCTTAATCTTGAGAGACCCCAGCAACAGCCCAAGCTAAAGCCGGGATGCAAGCGGCAGGCAAACCCCCCAAACAGAGGGCTGAGAAGCTGAAGCAGCAGCCCACTCTTAAGAGGGAGAGAGCGACGGAAGGAGCTTATCCGGGCCCCACGGGCTACTGGGGAAGGCAGCAGAAGCAGAGGATCAACTGAACCCCCTGGAGTCACAGTGACTCGGAGGAGCAAATGGAAGTCTAGGCAAACAGCTGAGTGGCATGACCCAGCCAAGTGGAAGTTCCCAACCACAGTTCGCAGTCCATCAATGGACCAGCTGAGGGAGAAGTTCAGCGGGCTGGAGATCTGGGGAGCCACCTCACTGAGGGCGGCGATCACAGGAGTTGGGACAGGGGCCATGAAACAGTTGCCCACCCACTTTCCTCCCATCCTGCAGCCAATGGTACCAACCCCACCAGGGCAGTGGGATTCCCCCACCAAGGGGTAATAGCTCCCATTGCTGCCCCAGTGTGGAGGCAGGCACCGACACACGCAACCCAAGCAGCAGCTGGGGTTTCCACTCAAGTACCCTTGGCAACAGTGGACTTGCTGCCTGGATACATCGGTGCAAGTGAACCAATCGCTACCTCCCCTAGCAATCTGATTCGATGGGCGACCCAGCAATGTGGTTTACTTCCTGACCCAGGTATGGAACTACATGGGGCAATGTGCCCGGATGAGTGTGCCTTGGCCAATACCATTTCATCCAATCTGGAAGGGAATGCAGCGGGATGGCTGGTGTCTCTCCACAAATGAGGGAGCTCTGTTGTTTTCCTGCAGGCATTGCAGGACAGATTCAAAGACCCCACAGTAATCCGGAGTGCAAAGACCTGCATCTACTCCCTATGGCAGGCAAATGGCCAATGGCAGAGTACATCCAAGATTTTTGTAGCCTGGCAGCTCACCTAAGAGACTGGACTGAGGGCATGCTGGTCTACCATTTCCGGGAGGGCCTGAACAAGGAGCTGTATCACAACTGCTTCCCCAGGGGGTGCCCCCCTGACCTTTGAGCATGGTACCAGTTAGCCACAAATGTGCAGCTCAACCTGATGGAGTACTGGGAGCATGTTGCGCATGAGAACTGGCCTCCCAAATCCCCAAGAGATGTCCAGTGCCCCAGGGAGAAAGGGGGAGCATTCCCTGCCAGGGGAGAGACGTCCCACAGGGCCCCAGGAGCATGTTTCCGATGCAGGAAGCAAGGCCACCAAGCGGCCGACTGCCTCACACCACAGCTGGCATCTGTATCACGAGCCCCAGTCCAACCGAAGCCGAAAAACCATCTGCAAAGCCAAAGGAGAAAATGTGGGCGGCTCAACAGGTCGTGGAGTGAAGGCAACTCTGACCCACAATAAGCCAGGCTTGATCTTTTACTAAAGTGACAGGAGGAAGCCAACCTAATGGCATCATCCCTATGACCTGGGTGGAGATTTTGGTGCCCTCTCAGGAATCAGGCCTTGCTAGACTCGGGGTACAAAGGGTTGCTGGTGTACCTGGATGACATTCTAATTTATACCAAGACCATGGAAGAGCATGTGAGACTAGTGAGGGTAGTACTTGAGAAGTTGCGCAAAGCTCAGCTGTATACAAAGCTGTCTTTCACAAGACCAGCCTACAGCCTTGGCCTTTAAGACATATGGTTTTGATTTTGGAGGTAAGACAGACCCATCAACTTCAAGAGTAATTATTCTTCTTCATGAATTTGACTGTCCTAATAAAAGCAATGACCATTACTTCCTTGACAGCAGTTAGTCCAATAATGTTATCTTTTTCCACCTTTCTTGCAAGTATACTTGTGAGACAGGCTAAGCTGAGAGAGATTAACTGGCCAAAAACCACCCAGTGAACTACTTTGGCTGAAGATATACTTAGAAGTGGATCTCCCTCTTTATAATCTAATAGTTTAACCATCACACCCCACTGGTTCTTCTCTTATTTAGATAATAATGGATGACACAAAAAGAATAGTCTTTTATCCTATCTTTGAGAGCCAGTATGCAAATAAATGGCATTTTTAGTGTTCTAAATATTTTCAGGAAAAAAACTGATCAGGACCGTACTGATTTCTGGATCACATTTTATTGGACAAAATTTATTAAAACAGAAAATAAGCAAGTAAAGAAAACCAGAAATGCCTTAAATTATTGCATATTACTCCATTTCTAAGTATGTGTAAATTATGAATACATAATTTATATTAAAAGCATTTTGATGAACAAAATATAGTACATTTTGTAAGGAACAATCATGAAGAAGAAGAGGGGAGGGGGATTCTCCACTCAAATCAAAAAGGATGTATTCAGCTTCATGCATCCAACTCTGGCAAGCATGTTATGCTCGGACAAAGCATCTCATTTATTACAGTACTAAAAAGCTGCTGAAAAGAAGAGACAAGAGGAGCAGAAGGAGGAGGAAGAGACTGCATAGCACTCCAAGAGAGAGGTATTAAAAGGCTTTGCTTCTCGGGGATCTCAGGTCAGCATGTCCCAAAGGCAGCAGCAGCACAATGCAGTCCAACATGCTGTCAGGCAGGTACTTTCACCAGAGTTATCTCTTCGCCGTTCTTCCACAACGTACACTGAGAAAAGAAAAAACACATCATCAAAGCTTGAGGAACCATGTCTTAATTCCAATCTTTTATGCAAATGCAGGCAACTGAATGATAGCTTAGGCTTCATGTGCTCAACTGATGCTACACTGCATTCTGAGCAGCACCTTCTGGCTCAAGATAGCTGACTAGTACAGAGGTCCCCAACCTTCTGGGCACCAGGGACCGGTTACATGGAGAGAGGTTTTTCCGCAGACCAGAGGGTGTGTGGTTTTGTGTGCTGCCTGCATCCCACAGATGGGGCTTTGCATGTTTGTGCGGACCGTTGCTGGCATGCCGTGGACCAGTACTGGTCCATAGACCGGGGGTTGGGGACCCCTGGACTAGTACACTTACATTCATTGTAAGCTTGGCACAAGTGCTTATGACTAAAAAGTCATGGAAGTGAGGATACATATCCAAAGAACTGTAGACGCATCATTTCCATGGCCTCAGATATGTGTCTGCCATTGTATAGATCTTGTCTCTGCCATTTTAAATGGCTCTTTAAAGCTAAATTTTGTTCGCAAAATGTAAACTACAATTATTTATTTGAAGTACTGTAACCTATTTTTCAAAGAGGAAAAAAATCCAAATGCCTTTTAGGCAATTACTATGATAGCAACAAAAACAGGATGGAAGCTTTGAACAGAAGCAATGCACAATAGGAACACAAATTTTTACAGTACATTATTTAAGGACAAGGAAAGATATTTAATTCAGAAATTTAATAGAGGAAAATAATGAGAAAATAATGAAAATAAAAGACACTTTAAAGAAATCACTAGATCAAAGAGATCACTAGAAATTTTTCAGCTAAGCTAGGAAAACTCAAAAGTTATTAATAGAAAATGGAAGACTGCATCCAAGCACTTTATAAATGGGTCTGCAAATGAAACTTGTAAATAACACGATTCAAAAGAGAATCTGAGATATCGGAACCAATAATCCAACTGTTGGATAAAAAAGCACTAAACAGGTCAATCTTAATTACTTCCTGCAACATTTTGAACAACACAGTCGCCACTATGGTTGTATTTTGTCAAAGGAAATATTTCAATTGTGCAATATTGGAGAAGGTATTTCTTTAAAGGATTTTCCTACCAGAATGCACCCAGTGTAAGATGACACTCTGTATCTGTAGTCTCTTTTGGCCTTCAAGGAAATAAAAATAGCTTTAAAGTTTGACCTCCAACTAGTTCCACAATTAGAGACAACCCTATTTGGAAACAAGGAAGCATTCCAGATTGGAGAAAAATGCTGCAGCATTTTGGTCCTTATAGAGTAGGAGAGAAAGGGGAAATGGTATTCAGAAGATGAAAACATGTAGGCATGGTATTAAGGACAATTTAGGCAACAGTGACTAAAAAATAATGACTAACAAAAGGAGGACATTCTTAATAGAACTATAAGCTTTACTAAGCTAATGGTCAGTGGATTGACTGACATTTCAGATGACCTCTTCTCCTGGCTGAAGGCAGAGGACTATTTTTCAGTGTGTTTATTTTCAGTGTTTATATGCCGCCCAATATAAACTAATATGGAACTAATATGGAAATTCCAGTTTTTCTTCTCATAACCTTTTTCAAAATGTTTTTGCCTTTTACATTATTTGTAACTCAGTATTTAGGCAATTTACCTTAAACGGCATCCAGGAAAAGGGAAACATATCTGATTTGTTTAGTAAATGGTAAAGTTACAATAATTTGAAAAGATTTAAAGATAGGAAAATTTATTACACTCAAAATATTAAAAGTCAAAACTAACTGGACGACCCATCGCTGGATTTCTGGTTTTGCTTCATGACAAATGAAACTGACCATAAGCCACCCTGCAGACTTCAGAGGGCTGCATGGGAAACCAATACTGTTCAAGTATGCAAGAGAGTTCATTATGGAGAAAGCAGCGGGAAGAGGGAGATTAGTTCCAACCCACTCTTTTCCCAGCCTACAAGATAGTATCCACATTCTCAAGTTGTTATTTATCTCATGCTGTGGAAAAGAAGGGAACGGAAGCATTTATACACAGCTCTTTGAAAACAATTTGGAAATGTTGAGAGATCAGCAGCAAGATAATCGAATCCTGAATAAAATACAAGCTTTTATTTCCTATTTAGAGCTCTTCATCCAAAATGTCTCAAGGGGACCAGGTGAGCAAGAGTGCTTTAGGCAAATGTTGCCAAAGTAATGAAAGCTTTGTGCTGCAGCTTTCATAATATGCAGTACTTCTTGATTTATTTATTTTATGGAGAATGGACATATTCCCCAAACAAAATTACCCGTGGATTATATCACTCCACAAAATATTTATAGATGCAATAGCACACAGTTTACACAAATACCTGAACCGCTGTCAGCAGGTTTATACATTCCAAAATAAAAACAATCCACCACCCCCTTCCAGAGGCAGTCTCTTGAACAAGCTAGTTTCTGAACACCTTTTTGCAAAATAAAATAACATTTCATGCCAAAAATCATAGCAAGACCTGCACTTCACACACTCCAACACAATCTGACAGAGATGATTTCGCTTTGCAGAAATCAAAAAGACTCTGCCTCATAGCCAGTAGGAAAAGAAAATGGTAGAGCAATGAACAGTACAGATGAACCATAATTTTAGGAAATGGTAATCAGAGAATTAGTCAAACGTAGCAAAATTTAATTAGAAAAGTATCTTGTAAGGTTTGGTCAATTTGCACTCATAAACAGAGGCTATTAGCAATCAAGCAATGAGACTAGTGTAAAAATATGCATTACACTACTTCTGATAATATTAAATCAATACAAAATACAATATTGAATAATAAAATGGAAGACCTCTGACTTATATCTTCCCTTATTTTCTATTCCTTTTTGCAACAGTGCCATACTCATAAGTTGCCAAAGAGAATTTTTTCTACTAGTCATGAGATCAGAAAGTTTCCTTAAACACCTGGAAAACCTGGAATTTGTGGTTATCAGGCTGCAATGGATGCCTCTATAGAATAAGGCACAATTAAAAAAGCTGGATTGGGGTATTTCTACCATTTATTTCCCACACAAGCAGGGTCTTGCATCACATGAAGCATTCTTATACCTAATGTTGAGAATGTCTGCAGGGAGAATGTTAAAATGTATAAAGATCAAGTGTAAATTGTTTTAGATATTGTGCTGCTTAGGTATTTGTAGTTGGTGCCCATCCTACACAGCCTGGTAGAGTTAATATGCTGCATGTCCCATTGATTAAATAATGCCATCTGATGAGTTCCAGAAAGAAGACCTCCTTTGTGATAGCACCTTCCCTCTGGAATGACAATCTCCCAAAAGATTCACATGGTTCCCATCCTGACTTTGTTTAAAAAGTCCTTAGAACCTGGCTCTTCTCTCAAGCCTTGACTCAGATCTAAGTGGCAGAACTGTTGTGGGGATAATTGGTCTGGGAGACCTTTTTACAATTTCCCCATATATCTGCGTATATTTTATTTTTTGAAACATATATACTGTGTGTTGCCCTAGTCACAAGGGAGTTGGGAAATCTGGAACCCAGCTACTGTACTTGCAAAGATTGCGCCTTGAGCTTTCTGAGTCTCCAGTATCCGTTAAATCTCTGCTTGAGCATCTCTCTTGCTTGCGCAATGTGCACAGCCCGTCCCCACCAACATTTTGGGAGACAGCTCAGTCTGCAGCATTTTTCATTCTACCTTCAGTTTTCATGATTCACAAAAAGGCATCTACTCGTATTAGAAGATAATTCTTATCTGTGATAAGAAATTTGGCTTTAACTGAAAGTTACATATCACCTATAGTTGAGTTTCAAACCTTAAGAGACCCATCTCTAAGCAAAATATTGTATATGGAATGCAATATGTCATTTGGGACAGGTAGGAAGGTCCAAGGGGCATGTTGCATTCTGAATGCAGCAATGCAGAACCAGTCTGATAGAGATGACTTTCCTAAATCTAATTCCACTCCATAGAGAAGTTATGCTAGGGCCTTAAGACACATTTATAGCAAATGGAAATTATTGATCTCCCTTTCCATAGAAAATAGTTGCGATGTATTCTGGACTATATAAACCAGGGCTTTTTTTCTCATAGAATGCCCAGAACGGAGTTCCGGCACCTTTTTTAGATGGAACCTTATAGGGTAGGCAAGGTGGGTTGTATGACGTGTGTGAGTTCCGGCACCTTTTTTTTTTTTTTTTTAAGAAAAAAAGCACAGATATAAACCATGCACTTTTCAATTTTCAGACGAATGGAAAATCATCCGTAAGCCTAGATAGTTAAATCAGCTTCTGTTCATTTATGATTCAGATCACGTTTCTGTTTGAAAATACCATGATCTTAATTCTCTTGCAATTTAATAGTAGCTGTTGCTCTGTATAGAAGAAGGATAATGAGTGAAGTGTTTTAGCTCCATCAGTGAGTGGATCCCTCTATCATCTGTGTGTAGTAACACTAGCATGGGCTGCCTCCAGCAGTCAGTGGATGAAATTCTATTTTTGTTACAGAGAGGGAAAAGCTGCCTGCTGACAGACAGCCTTGGCTGAACATACAAAAACAAGAAATCCCAGCTGAGATTCTTTTACAAGCTTTTTCCTATTCTGCTTGATTGAATGTATTCCAGATAAAACTGTTAGAGAAATAGGTCATTTATTGCAGAAATAATTTACATTTTTAAATATTCCGTTTATCAGAGCAGCTTTTAGCAAAAAAAGAATATCAAATTTTAACAGTGCAGTAGGGGTGTAAGTATATATTCAGGAGACCCATTCAGCTCAAAAGTATAATCCCTTGTTGTAGGTACTTAAAATCTATTATGTGAGACCATATTCTGCATTTGTCATGGTAGTTGGGACCCCATGAATGGAAAGCCAAGATGATCTTGACTTTTCCATGTCTTTCTTTACAGAGGGCTCAATACTGGAAGCAGCTCAGTAAAGTTTATCTGACAGCTAAACAAAAAGGGATCAATTCCTTCCTTTGTCTAGCATTTGTGCTTATTTGTTCCTGG